GGGGGGGGGGGGGGGGGATTCGTATGTGAAAGGAGGACTCTGACATAAAGGGGGCTAATGTGTTTTTGCATGGGCTCCCTCCCTTAAAAGTCCATACCAGACCTCAATCTATGATAAGGTTCTGGTATGGATTTTGGAAGGACCACACTCTATTTTTTACATTTGTGGTTTTTACATTTTAGACTGGGGTGCCTCAAGATTTTTGCATACTGTCATGGCTAAAAAAAAAAAAAGAAGGTTGAGAAACGCTGGGCTAGATTCACTGCAATCTCAGATTGTAACCTATGTGGATAGGTTACAATCCACATAGTTTGTTGTTACAAACTAACAACAACTTAGTTTATTGGAGAGACGCCGCCATCTAGTGGCGACACAAAGTAATGCAACAATACAGATGCATCAGCATTTTCAAGAGGAAGGAAACATGTTTTTGTTTTAAAAAAAAAAGAGTTAATTTTATATATAGCATGAAAACTAAGCATAAGAAAGAGACACCAGCAGCAGGCACACCCAACACTTTGTAGATGTTGCTGAACTACAAATCCCTGTATGCTATGACTACACAAGAAGCATGCTTAGAGGAGTTTGCAATGTACAGCAATCTTGTGACAGGGGTTGTGCCAAGTAGTAGTTCCATTGCAGTATGGTCACCCACAGGTTGGCCAGAGCTGAACTACAGCATGTTATATCTATAGACACTCTTATAAAATTGCTATAAATGTGTATTGAAATGGTCACTTGCAGTCTCTATTAGAAGTCTGTGTGACAGGGTGACTACATAGGGGTACAAATGTTAAACAGGGACAGAGCGTTGTCACCTTATAACAGGAAGTGCCTGATCAAGGATCTTCATGGCAGGATTACCAGGGATTATTTTATCAAAGAGTGCAGAGAAAAAAATCCCTGCAGGCTCCCGAGCTATCCTTGTTACAAATCCCAGGAGGCTGCGGGAGCAGGGACTCGAAACCGGCGGATGGACCTCACTATGCGTCACCAGGAGCAGGGACACGTCATTTTTGTCAAGGCGAGAATGGTGGTTGTGTGTTATGTTGTGGAGGGGGATTGCTTGGAGCTAGACTGGATCTGGGGATTGAAGGACCACTTTAAATAAATGTGGCCTGGCAAAGCCTCAGCCAAAATGCAAATGTGGTACTTGCAGTGTGTGTGCTGTGTGCGTACATGTGTGTATTGTGTATGTGTGTACTGTGTATGTGTGTATTGTGTGTGTGTGTACCGTGTATGTGTGTACCGTGTATGTGTGTACCGTGTATGTGTGTACCGTGTATGTGTGTACCGTGTATGTGTGTACCGTGTATGTGTGTACCGTATATGTGTGTACCGTGTATGTGTGTACCGTGTATGTGTGTACCGTGTATTATGTATGTGTGTACTGTGTATTGTGTATGTGTGTACTATGTATGTGTGTATTGTGTATGTGTGTACACAGCCACACCCACGCCGCAGACTCCGGGGATACACACCTGAACTCTGACTGCTTGCAGAAACTTCTCAGGTTCCCGGGAGAAAACTGGCGCGGGTCCCTATCAGCATGCGATAGGCAGCTTCCTGTGGTTTCCAGAATCTGGAAGTTGTAGTAGCTGATAATATTAAATAAGAGCAGCGTGGGTGACCCGAACTCCGCTCACACTTCCTCTGTGACAAATCAGAGTCCGATGACAATGTGTCATTCATATGCTGCGTCCTGCTGGGTGTCAGCTGCTCTCTCTGGCGCCAAAGACGTCTCTGTCCGTCCCTTACCTCTCATACACACCCATCCACTGTATACCTGATACCATTTTCTACCACTCTAAGATACAAATTGCACTGAATTGTAACTGTTTAGAATTCAAGAGACACATCAGTAACCTTAAAAATCGGTTTAAATGTTAATTTGCAGTGTTTGACCCTCCCGTAAACATGTTTTATTGACTTGCAATGTGTCTCTGAACTTCATAGGGAAAGGACACTCCAGAAAGTATAAATTCCCTATCAGAACCTCCTCTCTTGCATATTATAACCCTCCAGCCAACATTTGTGGCTGGTTGCTCTCAAACCCAGCAGCTCAGGAACTCATTGACAATCAGGAACCAATCACAGGTGTCCGAGATCATGCGATTACTATATCACCTATAACATAATATTCATGTGCAGGCTGGAGGCTTCAGTGACAAAATAAGACTTCAGGTGAACACTGCCACCTTCAGGCCAAACTGGGATCTGTAGTACTGTCAGTAAAATACTGCAATTGTCCAGTAAAATAATTCAATTTAAAAATATACTTTTTTTAAATGTTTACACATTTGTCACTGTGTAATATATATATAAAAAATGAGTAAGGGTTTTTTTTATAAACAAATGAAAGTCTTATATGTCTTTTAAAAATCTCTCTCTCTTCCTCAACCTCTCCCCCTCCCTCGCTCTCTTTCCCTCTCCCTCTCTCTCTTTCCCTCTGCCTCTCTCTCTCTTTCCCTCTGCCTCTCTCTCTCTTTCCCTCTCTCTCTTTCCCTCTGCCTCTCTCTCTTTCTCTCTCTCTCTCTCTCTCTCCCTCTCCCTC